ATAAAAACTCTGCAAGCGTTTTATAGTCAGAGATGAAATAAGTATGACGGCCATGTGAAACAATTTAGGTTTTTTAAAACAGAATATAAATGTTTTAAGAACAATATTAAATGTATAAATGTATGACGGTTTTTATGAGCTGCTCAGGCTGGTGATTATTCTATATATGATGTTATCTGATCAGCGAATGGAGTGTGGTGGTTGAGGAAATTACAGCCAAAACCAACAAATCTGATGTCGTCACTTGCACTCCATCCGACACCCATAACTTTTCTTTGAGGGTTTGGCGAAGTTTTAAACAGTTATATCTAATGGTTAGTTAACAGTTCATATATTATTTATGACATTTTTAAAAGCACATGTTTGACTGTATTTTAAAAATCTGCAAGACGTGTTGTCAATTGTTAAAGCGTCAGAGAAACAAAAGACTTTTTTGTCATTGTACAGGTATGAATCTATCAAATGATGTGAAAGAAATGTTTCTTAAAAGTTTTAAATTTTAGATTTGGAAAAGGAACTGACTCATCAGGATGTTCTAAGACAAAAAATGTTTGTATGAGAGTCATAGGAATGTGAAACCCTATGGGGATGACTTATCATTCTAGTAAGTTTATTTGTGTTCATTGATTGTGCACTGAATTTTAGTTTTATACTGTTTAATACTGTTTAAGAAAAGGTATTATCTGAATTTGATTAAACTTTTATTATTTTACAGGGGGTTGTGTAAAATTTGCTGAAGTGTGTTTTTCTGTGGCAATGTGGACGTAGCAGTGAGAGGACACCCGTATCCAGTCATAGACATACACAGAAAAGTTTAGCATTGTTCACATAATATGTCTCTCTGCTCGAAGAATCGTTCTCTTCTAGTGAGGAATGCCAAGAAAAAGACATTTCTGTGCAATGTTCTGAGGTTGATTTCCCCAACTGCTTTGATATGCTGCATATTAAAAGTTTTGAACATTGAACACTTCTTCTTCTTTTTTTTTTTTTTTTTTTTGTAGCCACCCAATGGACATTTTCCCCAAAAAAATCCGTAAAACAACTAATAAAAAAAAAATGGCCTCACTTGGTATTGATGGCGGATGTTCCATGGGATGCGATCTCATCGCATATCATAGAACATTTGGCAGAATTTTGCATAGAATACCATCGCCGGGGAGCACTGTTTTTTCCAGGTCCCTCGGGCCAAGATGGTAGTTCTACTGCTTGTGTATATGTTTGTGTGTATGCTGCCATATCTTTGTATGATCGGCGCATAATTTGTTATTGATATTATTTGAATTATTTGCAATAAACGGCCATGACAAGCTCGCCAAACAATAAGTATAGTTTCTCATAATTATCCAAAAGAATTACATGTATGAACTTCCATGCTTTATGCACTATCTGCGCATAGATTTACATGTAGGTTATAGGTACATTCCTATTTAGGTTAATATACAGTCTCGAAATAAATATCTATAATTTTTTTAAATTCTTCTTTGATTATTACATATGATATACTTTTAAGCTATATAAAAAAGAATAAGAAGAAGACATTTTCAGTTTCATTTAAATCTCAATCTGTATGTAAACAATGTTATAATTATTCGTCTTTTTTTTTGAAAGTTCACAATAATGACAGGTTCAAATCAATAAAATCATTTTTACTATATCCATACATTTAATTCCACTCTATTCCGGAAATGGGCTAGGGCAAATTTCATTCTGAAATGCTGGTCGCACATATGGCCTCACATGCGAGAATAGGTATCGCAGCCGAGATTCAGAAAGTCCACTTGCGGGGAGAACATCTGGTCTTCTAATTTCTGTAAACTGAAAATCCTTGTCTTTTAAAATTGAGATCTTTTCTTCGTTCCCTTCACTGGTCTTCTTCACTGTAACAATGCCGGGTTCTTCAGAATCGAAGGAGCAGTGTTGGTACTGTCGTATACCCTTCACTGCTTTAAAAAACTGACTAAGGTAAGCTTTCCATGATCTCCATTGCCATGCTGGGTATCTCACAGCTGTGTTCGTAGAGGAAGATTTGTTCACAACATCTTCAAGTTGGCCAATACCATCACAATCACAACGCCTGTATAACTTTTTAATAAGAGCAAATCCTCCATCGATGAGGCATCGCGTATGACCAGGAATTTGCATCTTAAACTCTATAGCGTTGTGTTGTTTCGTCATGACTCGCCACATAAAGTATCCAAGCACATATTGATTTTTATTCTGACCACAGCAGTTATCAGCATGGATGGTACATGACACTTCCCCCGAATTATGGTTTTCTAAGGCCCAGTCCAGCATAGAAATCACCGAATCTGGACCATGCACATTCGCCCCATCTGGTCCGATAGTTTCATCCTCATTAATCAAAAAATTCAGTTGTTTAGGTTCTCCATCACTGCGGACACCAAATATATGGACTTTTCAATGAGTCTGAAAGTACAGTGGGCCCATTTGTCGTGCATGGCGAGGAATACAAACATTTTGACTGAAATCAAAAGTATAATGGACGAACTTGTTCTGTAAGCGATATGTGTCACGGGACCTTTTTACACATTCATTGTAAATGTTCCTCTCTGCTTGTGCTTGTATGATGTGGTCCTGCATCTTCCTTGTTGCAACCAACTTTTCTTCCTCAGAAACAGCATCCAAAATGCTTTTCCGTAGCTTTTCACAGGTGGCACAAACATCGTCTCTAGGTTTTGCAATTCGTATATGCGGAACACATTGATTCCATACGTTGCAAAATGTGGAGTATTGCACATGGCGTTCATTAAGGCAGCTTTCCACGTATTTATCATGAATAGCTTTTTTTGTCATGTCTGATGGTATGTACATCGGAGGAACATCGTCCCGTCCTCTTGGTGCTGCTGGTTGTGGTAGTCCAAAGTCATCAGCAAAATTAGAAACAATTTGGACCACTGACCTAATATCGCAATATTTAAGTGAATGACTAGGTTTCTTCCCAGTGTTTCCATGTTTGCGTGGTGTTACCCCATGTGTATTCATGTGTGTTATAACGTTTCGAAGAAAGCGCTTACCAATGTCATAAGCAAGCATAAAAGTTTTCTTGCACACTTTTTCACCAGAAAACATGAATGTTTGTCGTGAACGCAGTCTCTTCTTTCCGCGTTTGGTTGTCTCCTTACTGTTGTCTACAAGAGAACCCATGACATACATGTCCTTCTCTTCCTTTGACATCTCCCTCATGTTAAGGATGTGAGTATATAAAACATCATTGCTAAACAGAGAGAGACACATGTTCTTACAGCCGCATCCCTGAACCTTGGTTTCTCTGATTTTATACAGATCAGGATTATCCTGGGGAAGAGGCACATTTGCAATATCATTCAAATCTATTTGGTCTTCATCTTCTGTGTCGTCCCTACTTGCATCTATGTCCGAAGAGTTTGTTTTATCAAGAAACTGCAAAGCACGTTGATCAAGATCCACCGCCTTATTAACAGGCAGGTCGTCATCCGAGCCATCCGAAAGAACTTCATTGTCACTGATTTGGGATGCAGCGGGAGTGTTTAGAGGGGTCCGTCCGAAATGTTCCGAGAAGAGATTCTCTAGCTCCTAATATAAAAAGAAAAAATCAGAGTGCAGTTCAAAAACATGAAGAAATTTGTTTTTATATTTACATACAAGTTATCATATTGCTTTTGTTATCTATATTTTGAATTTATATTTCCTATATGGATTAAATTTTTTAATTTATTTTTTTTTATTAAATTCAAGAAACAAAACTGAATGTTATTATACTCTGTCTCTGATAACATACAGTCCATGCATTTCAATTTTAGATGATATTTATGTACACATTTTTGAATCTATTTAAAATTATATAAGTATGTAATGAATTTCATTTTGCGAAATTCATTTCAATACCCCCCCCCCCTCCCTACAGGGCCTACACACAAAAATAAGAAATAAAAATAAAATAAAATTTACAACAACAAAAATTGACTAGTTTATGTTGCTTAAAAATTAATTACTCAGTTTGCCAATACATAGAATATTGTGATTTGAAAATTTTTTATCGGGAATTCACGTCAAATAGTATACAAACATATGAAGACACACTGAATGTTTTTTATTTAAACATATATATATAAAGTTAAATAATTTGTTGTAATTATAATGGTTCTGTTTATGAAAATAATTTCAAACATTTTCTGCCATTCAAAAATACCAGAAGCACACGTTTAAAAAAAAAAAAGAGTTCCGCTGGGATTTGAACACCCGATACCAAAATGACAGCATCTCATCCCTGCGACTATATCGATCACGCCACCGCGACTCCGGCAGAATTATATAATTATTTATTATTTATAGATTTTCAGCGAGATTTGCGATATTATCATCATTTAAATGATTGGAAACTATGTTATTTTCATTTTTGTTTCGAATACATTTAAATGCACAAGAATGTTGCACATAGCATGTATGGAACCTGTAACGAACACTAAGTTAACATTATGCAAACATTAGTAAGCGACATTACCTCATTAGCCAATTTCGAATCAAGCTTCGAATGTTTTTCACTTTCGCAATTTTGTGAATTATAAAATGTGTTTATTGTATTTCTTTGACGTTTTCTCCTAAACTTACAAAAAATAAACTGGGTATTTTAATCGATGGCCATGAATATCATACTTATTATTTGAAACAGACCGCATGCACTTTAGGAGGAGCCCTACATGTACCAGAAATTAAAGCAAGGCGTATACATAAAAATTTAGACTATCGTCAATAAAACTTATGTCTGTTTGAAAAAAGAAATGTTACTTACCTCCAATTTACAATCCATTTCAATTTCAATTTTTCGTAAACGACTAGGCAACGAGATAACTTGAAAACATGTGTGTAATATTTCACAGCTCAAGGCAGCAAAATGACGTCAACTTCTTTGGCGATTTTATACGTCATAATACCAATGTCATTAAGACCCCTTTTTCCAGAGAGCGGTCCATATATTATTTATCCATTTCTTCAAGGCGTCTAAATATGAGTGAAAAAATCTCGAAAGGCGTTAAACAATACACAATCAATCATTCCATTGCTTCTACAGTGACTATAGGTGGCGATCATGTCAGGCCTTAAGAATTCTTTGTGTGAAGGAAAAACCACCAACATAATGAACATTATTCTCCATTAAATTGATTGTATGTTGTTTAACGTCCCTCTCGAGACGAGAATTTTTCACTCATATGGAGACGCCACCACATGTCGTTGGAGAGCTGCAAATTTTGTCCTATACTCGGCACTCAAGTCTAGGTTTGTAATGAAATCGGATATTATTCGACGTATATGTTTCTCTATAATACACTTTGAACCGGCTAGATAATGTTCTGAACATTTTTCCTACCAATATACAAAGATATAAACGTTAGCCTCCTACGAGGGAGAAATTATATATATTTTTGATATGTTCATAAATATATAAATAAACAAATGAATGAATTAAGAGGTATTAAAAGACAAGCAGGTGCGTAATCAACATTTTTCCTTTTTTTTTCTTCTATAGGTCAAACAGAAAAAAAAATGATGAATATTATATTTAATTCAAACTAACAAATTAAACAAATGCTAATTGCTTTAGACATAATCAACTCGTATTACATCAAACACTTTGAAAACATTATGAAACATATATTGATGATGACAAATCTACTTGAGGTGTTACATTAAGTTAAATATTAAAAGATTATTTCCTTGTGATCAAAAGGATTTTCACCTCAATTCACCTCAAGGTAAATATTTAAGCTAAGCAAGACATTTCAAATGAGAGGTCCGTAAGCCAATGATCACTTGCTCAAGCAGTACCCCCGCTCTGATGTGAATAACTGTATGCTCTCGTGCTAATATATACATGTAGAGATGCAAAGGGTATTTGGTA